ATGACATTTTGAAGAATTACCACGTTGACACGACTTATGTACGATGAATTGGTCACGATATAACCCAATAAAGGTAGTCGGGATATACCCTAATACCACCTACATTCATTGTTTACAACCGATGTGTAAATGTTTATTGGCAAAAAGCAAAAAACACGTATTTCTTAATTTTTTGCGAGCAATCACATCGCGTAAGTGGAACTTAAGTAGGAGTGCTTGTTTAATGGATATTAGAAAAAAATGTCGCCTGAAGGGTAGTTCACCCCCTTGGGGGTGTTGTAGCATTGCTGGACAATATTGTGTTTTCACCGTCCTTATACAGAATACGTTTATACCAAGTTTCGTCGAAATCCCTCCATTGCTTCAATGAAAAATATTATACAAATCGAATTTTTGCCAAACTTTGGGGGGTTGTTTCACCCATTACATGCGGACCATGCAGATATAAAAAAACACGTGTCTCTTAGATTTTTGTGTTCTTCAACATATATGAAACTCAATAAGATCGGAGGCGGACACTTGGGAATGTTTCCTTGTAAGTTGTAACAGCTTTTTGCATCTTACCTGTCTCGTGGAACGCTGAACCAGTACTCGGGTTGAAGTTTCTTCTTGCCGTAGCTCATGATCGGCGTAGATTTTGGGATCTTCTTGTCCTTCGGCCTCCCGGTGCGCAGTCTGAGATAGAGAGGAGGATGCTCACAGGAACGCGCAGGCCGGGGTATCAATTCTGTTACAATTGATCGATGAGAAAAGTATTCATTAATACATTCACGACCCTCGGGATTTGGGTACGGTTTGGAGAAGTTCGTTCGCGAAGAGGTAGCTCGAAGTACCAACATAATGTTTCCTAATAAACGTTAAGGCTTGAACTTCGGACGCGATGGTGTATAAAATAAAGACCACCTCGCGACGTTGATGTAACCAGCTACTAGTTTCTTCGTGCACATGCCTCTTCGAGAAACGATCTCGCCGAGATTCAAAGCGTATCTCTTCCGGACCAAGAGATTAATTCTCACACAACACGAAATGCAAAATATACACGCCGGTTGACGAGTCGGAGAATTCAGCCGAATGAAATCTTTTCCAGGACCTCGCGAATGGAGAATGTTACACCTGGGAGGTGTTTCGGCACCGAGCACCTTGTAGCAAAGGGTCACGTGCGCTTACACATACGCACACACGCACGCGACATGCTTTACAGTGATCCTTTACAAGTATGGAGTCGCTTTCGGAGATAACTCGAGGCAATGATGCGTAGGGCAAGGTGTCATATAGTATAGCAGGTTCGATCGAAAGAATTGTACATAGAAAAGACTGCTTCGGAGTGGTAACGGTAGCAGTAGTAGTAGTTACGGTGGGAGCAATGGTAGCTTTTAGTAATAATTATCGGTAACAGTTGTAGTGATGTGCAAGTGCAGCAGCCGAACTGAACAGAAACGCTCGGGTGTTTCGAAGTTCTCGAGATGTGTCCTCCAAGGGTTCGTAGACTTTTCCCGCAAGTTCCGAACATAAAACGAAAAGCCTGTAAGAATGCACTGGACAGAAACCGGGACGAAGAATCCATGGCAGCTAGCGAAGGAGACGAAATTAAAGAGACGGACGGAGGGGGATTTAGGCATTAAATGGGCAGAGAGCAAGCAAATACAGTGTGAACCTACCGAGGTCATCGAAATCGAGGAAATTAAGTGCTTGGACTAGAGGGACAACAGAAACAGATGACATTACTGGATTAGTATGATTCCATCATCCGCGTATCATGAAATCTACGATGCTGGTTCCGTACATTTCACGTCTAATCGATAACACCGGTAGCTCGTGATAAAGAATAAAAAGTATGGGTGTATACTTTTATTTTTATCGAGGAAATTAATCGATTTGTTCATAGAACTCTTGTTCGGACGATTAGTACGGAGAACGCGATCTAACAAGATACATAAAGATGCATTAAAAGATAATCTAGCAGCAAGGTTTACATGGTTACCTTAGTCAAAATTGATGAAACTGCTTGAAAGGTTACACAGCTTCAACACAATAAATTTCATGATACACGAGATACGATGGCGTTCGGTACCGAGAGATCACAATTGTCTTGCATAATATCTCTCGAAGCCGAACACGATGTGCTAGAATTCTGTCAAATGAATTCAATTGTATAAAACAAAGAAAAAGTATCTGCCCGTTTTGACAGAATTCGAGCAATTTTCTACACTAGGTGAAACGAAGTAGTCGTTTCTTCAAATCTAGAGTCAAATATAATAGTACGATGCGTCGTAGTAATGCAGGATGTACCTCCTATTCTTAAATATTTAAGCGTATGTATGCACATCGTTACAAGAAACTTAATCATAATGTCATTTTTAATATGATTTAATTTTGAAGATTTGAAGAAACAAGTGGATAACAATTGGTTACTGCACCCGTTATGATAATAGAATCGATTGTGAACATGAATCGCAATATTACTACCTACATGACATCTACACCAATCGATTTTTAACGATAACTTCCACATTTTTACTGTTATCTCCACGAGGTAATGAGGGTTCCGTCTCTTAAGGTGAAGTGAAACATCCTTCAAATCAGTCGATTCGAATACAACACTTTTTTTTAAGGGCATTAGACCAAACTGTCCGAAACTTTGACACATCACTCTTGATCATCTAAGAATTATCCTGACACATTCAAAATTTAGATTTTTCAAAAAAATTTTTTAACTCAGTCCAGACCAGAACCAAAATGGCGTCGAGCTCTTATATTTCGATCAATATACAATTATCGAAGGCTCTGATATGAGAATCGAAAGGGTTAGGATAATTTTACGACAATTTAGAACACTCTGGTAGTCGATAAACTCATATTTTAACGGGATAAAGGCAAAAAAAGTGTTGTATGCGCTTGTATGTCAAAACGATGGGAATACGAGGTCTCGGAGTGAAAATTTAATTGACTTGGAAATCACAGATGGCGCAGGGGGTCCCTCCGCAGTCAATTAGGGCCCAGAAGGCATGAACCCAGAGGATTTCTGGAGTTTTACTTCGATTTCTTCATAATTATTATACCAAAACGACAGGTGGAATATGCCATTTGGTACAATACACAATATAATTCGACACAGCTGTCGATATAAAAACGAACGTCGGCAACGTAGGCATTTAGAAAAATCTTCTTTATCGACGTTGATCAAGTTTCTCGACGTGTTTCACTTCACCTTAATATACGAGCAAGCTTATCATTTCATCGACAACGGTTCAAATTGAAAACACGATATGTTGCCTGGAAAATAATTTATCTAAAAAGCTGCGCTGAGCGGATGTTGTGCACTCTACATGTACGACTTTGAATCCCTGCATCATGTTTTTTCCCTTGTACTTTTCTATGTGTTTCCCGAAAATGCAGCAAATTTCAAAATAATTGGACACAAAGATGCACAGACTTTTTAATTTTTCTTCCACCTAGATATGATTGTATTTGATTTTATTTTGTGAAAAGTGTTGGTTCCATAGGTTCATTGAAAAACCCGGTAGAGTTTTGGGCCAAGTACGTGTATGCAATGGCCATACAGTTTTTTACAATGAAGTTCCGTACAGCAATAAGATGAATATCAGTCTCAATTTTGGAATATTACTGCTCTTTCGCTATTGCAGAACCGGCTACCAGTGCACTACAGTCGAAAGGAATAATGAAGTCATGTACGGTGTTCATAAATTATGCTCTTTCTAGTCACTATATTTATATCCGATTTATTAATCCCACATGTTTTAATGATCCTCGGGTTCAAGTGTCTTTTACCACAGAGTAGATGAGAGTTGCCACGAGGCATAAATGCATATTTGTAAACTTTATTGCGGCTCGAGAACCTTTCTGCATAATTCGATGCGCAATTCCAGAAATGGTATGCTCATACATCGGTATAAAAATAAAACATTGGGTTATGCCAGAACGAAGTTCACGCAATAAAATTCATGTCAGCAAATGAAGATCCGAAGCGACTCTCGTTTTCTCTCTATTCTTATTCAACGATTCTGTTATCATTTTCGCTTGCATTTCTTCATAAAGATATGAGGATAAATTCCTCCGTTTGTCTGTTTCAACGGATCGGAAAAAGATGCATAATAGTTGCTTTATTGAGACAGTCAGTGTTTGTTCATTTAAAACATAATTAAAGTAGGTAGTAAAATGTGTTTGTGATATTTGCAAAGACATAGAAACTAAAGAACATGCAGTATCTCTTTACCTACAAAAAAACAAAATTATTACAATAATTTCAATGTGTACATACGTAACGAAGAGATTAATTCTAACCCTTTTCATACTCTTCAAACTGACTTTTTCTATGGGCCTAAAACGAATGAAATTTAAAAAATGGAGCTACAAAGCATTGATAAAAAATGTTTACCTTTAGAAAAGTAATATTATTCACACTAATCATTTTAAAGAACAGTATTTAAAAAAAAAACCTTTCTATAATGAAGATGTTAAAAAAAGTAAGTATACTGACAGAATTAAGAGCATCTATATCAAACTAGTTTGATTTAAAAATCAAGAAATAATTTTTAAGACTTTTTATAATTATTACCTCTTTCAGTGTAACACTTTAACCTATTAAAGACCTACTTTGTTATTAAAAAATCTTCATTTTTTTATGAATACCAAGTTTGTACATTATTGTAAAACAGTAATCTTTTTCATATCATACACATAAATAATTAAAAAATAATGCGATCTTTGTCCAGTATCCTACTTCAGTATCCTAAATTTCACAATTAATTTACGAGAAAAAAAATATTTTTATACAATATTGTATAAGGTGCCTCACTATATAAAACTTTTGCAATTTTGCATCTTTTTCATACCCGTTATAGCAGTTTCTAGTCCGAATTATTACTTACAAAGTTGCAAAGTTATCCTTTCGTGTTTGTGGCAACTTCTGCACAACTTTGTTTTAATGAACGAATAAATGGTGAATTTCAATTTTTAAGTGTTCCCTTAAGTTTAAGTCGTCATTGCCGAGTGGCACCGTAATAAATAGGGTGCTTATAATAATCCACATTTGTTTACCGAGGTAGTTTGTCATATTNTTAATTTTATATACCGTTAGATGAAAACTATAACTGTATTTATGTATTCTACATTATATATTTGAAGTTATATTATAATAGGAATTTTAAAAAAGAATCTACATTACTTCATCGCATTTCTCAACTTTTTGTTTTATGGAGTTAATCAATGTGTGCACTGAGCGGCTCATATGTCAGTAAGAAATACTCACTATTTGGTTGATTACAGATTTACTTGAATAAGAGATATGGGTTGACAAATAAGTATCCTCCCATTCTCTCCGATCTTCTCAATATTACTACTTCCGTTAAACATTTCTAAGTTATTACAAAGTGAATATTAGACTTTTGAACGTTGTGTACGTTTTACTTACAGACTAAGTTTCGGAACGATTCGTGTAATTCACAACAACAACACTTTTGGTGCAAAATGAATTTTTTGCTAAACACCTTTTTACTATTATAATTACGTTTCACCAGATGTCGTTTAGTCACAACAAGATATTTCAATCATCCATTTATGTGAAGTACAAAGGTGGAATGTTATAAAAATAAAAAAATATCGATATTTAAAGGTCGAATATGCGTTAAACAAGGCAAGCAATTTAATACGCTTCGGAAGAATACCGTCTCGTAATTATGTTTTACGCATTACTAGGTAGTTGCCTAAATATTTTTGTAACATTTAACTTGATTTTTTTTTTCTTTTTAAATTCACTATAATATATTTGATTTCAGTCCCAAGTATAAACAGATAGTAGAAATAATCCTTGCGGTTAGTTTTTATTATGAAAAGAAATCGTATTAAGGTGAAGTGAAACCCCCTTCGAATCAGTCGATTCGAATACAACACTTTTTTAAGGGTATTAGACCGAACTGTCCGAAACTTTAGCACATCACTCCTGATCATCTAAGAATTGTCCTGACACATTCAAAATTTGGATTTTTCAAACGAATTTTTTAACTTAGTCCAGACCAGAACCAAAATGGCGTCGAGCTCTCATATTTCGATCAATATACAATTATCGAAGGCTCTGATATGAGAATCGAAAGGGTCGGGACAATTTTACGACAATTTAGAACACTCTGGTAATCGATAAACTCGCATTAGAACGGGATAAAGGCAAAAAAAGTGTTGTATGCGCTTCTTTGCTAAAACGATGGTAATACGAGGTCTCGGAGTGAAAATTTAATTGACCTGGAAATCACAGATGGCGCAGGGGGTCCCTCCGCAGTGAATTAAGGCCCCAGAAGGCATGAATCCAAAGGATTTCTGGAGTTTTACTTCGATTTCTTTATAATTATTGTACGAAAATAACAGGTGGAATATACCATTTGGTACAATACAGAATATAATTCGACCCAGCTGTCAATATAAAAACGAACGTCGGCAACGTAGGCATTTAGAAAAATCTTCTTTATCGACGTTGATCAAGTTCCTCGACGCGTTTCACTTCACCTTAAGAGATATTAATTTAGCAAATGACTATTTACGTCAAATGTGCTGTTGTCATGTTATGTGTACAAAGATAAAGAAACTCACTGTCGATGCTGGCGAAAAGATCTGGCATGTCATCGGCGGAAACCATACTACGGTAGTCCAACTTCGGAGCCGTTGAAGTTTTGCTTCCCCTGCTACTATCAACACTGCTACTCCCAGATGAGGTAAGAGGTTGTTGCCTTATGAATGTGCCTACCGAAGAGCGCCTGAAAGGAGATTTCGGTTAACCAAGTTGCAGATTACTAAAAGGAACTACCATTTCAAAGTTACGACGATTGTACAACATTCTGTCATTACTTATGAAGACATTTCAACGCGTACTTAACCAGATTTCTTTACTGTAAAGTGCTTCATTCTCAAATCGTAAAAATCTAGTTTCAAGCTTTCGTTAGATAACACTTGTTGACAAGTTTTCTGAGTGCTCAAGTGTAAAGATTAGCTAAAAATAGTCTAGTATTTACACACCGTTAATTTTTCTAAGCGCTATCAGCTTGAATGTAGTTTAAGGTGAAGTGAAATCCCTTCAGAACAGTCAATTCAAATAAGACACTTTTTTTTAAGGACACTATCCGAAACTTTAGCACATTACTCGTGAACGCCTAAGACTTGTCCTGACACTTTCGAAATTTGGTTTTTGAAACAAATTGTTCAACTTAGCCCAGACTAGAACCAAAAATGACGCCGAGCTCTTATATTTCGATCAATATCCAATTATTGAAGGCTCCGATGTGAGAAACGAAAGTGTCAGGAAAATTGTACAACAATTTGGAACACTCTAATAATTGAGAAATTAGAATTTCAACGGGATAAAAGCAAAAAAAGTGTCTTACGAGTTTCTGTGATAAAACGAAGGTGACACGAGTCTCGGAGAAGAAATTTAGTTGCCACTGAAATCACAGATGGCGCAGGGTAGCACTCTGCAGTTAATTAGGGCATCGGAAACCATAAATCCAGAGTATTTCTGGAGTTTTACGTCGATTTCTTTATAAATATTGTACGGAAACAACATATGGAGGATATCATTTAGTACAATACTCAATGTAATTCGGCACAACTGTCAATATAAAAACAAACGTCAGCAGCGTAGGTATTTAAAAAAATCTTTTTTAACGACATCGATCAAATTTCTCGACGTGTTTCACTTCACCTTAAGGAACTTAAATTCAAGAAGGCATAAAAGATAAAATTGGCTCAGTATTTTTTGACATTTCAGTGATGTACTTTTTCCAATTTTGCTAACCATTTATGATTCTATGTTAAGCAAGATTTGATATTTAATAGGCAAAGATAAAGACCATAAAGAGTTCAGGTTTGTATATATGGTTCAATAGCCGATACAATAATCAGGTATTCGTAACTTTAAAATCCAAAGATATCTAAATAAACAGTAAGCATGGGATAACATTCAGGATAAATGCAGTTCCATCATACGGCGAGAAAGTAAAATTAAAATTAATAACGTTGGTGACGCAGTGTTCAATGGATGTTGTGTGGTTTGTCTGTAAGCAAGACAGACGGTCATAATTTTTACATTTATCCGTATGGCTACGATGCTGAAAACAATCACGCTTATTCTAAGAGAATATCATGAATCTAGGCAAGTTTCCTTTATTTCTTAACATCGGGAGGAACGATACGTATAAAAAATAAGGGAAAGCGAGCGCAAACATTACTATATAAGGCGAAATTACCCAGCAAGAAATGCACCAGCGGCGATTTATGTATGAAATCTAAGTTATTTCTACTTTTAGCAGAATATATTCAATTAAAAGTATTCAACATAAATGAACAGGTTCAGTTGGTGACTATACAGATATCGCAAAAATTTAGACTTTGAACAATTGATTATTTGATATTTATAATTTCAATGAATCCATAGATGCAAATTGCATGAAAATCAGTTAGTTAAATAACACAATTGGTACATGGCAATATCTGTTAATTAATTCTTACACATAAAATAATACATTATTTCTGTTTAATTTCTCTTCTATCGTAACTATAACGACGTTAAGAAGTATTCAAACTCCCATAACGTTCATAAATTTTATATACAGATTAATTTTCAAAAATTACTTTATATTCAATACTACCTCCGTTAATAAAATTCTTCGACAACAGCAAAAACGTCTTGAATGTCTGAGACTATAACCGTACCGTATGAGACTATAACCGTACCGAGAGATCTGGGTAGGTTCTTCATCTCTGAAGAAAATCGTCTGTATGAAGTATTCTATAAACTACGGATTCGATCTCGACTCGTGGAGTTTTCGCGCCATTCGTGTCAATTTGTAACGATTGCATCTCGAATAACTGAGATTCCATGACGAGATGTGTGACTGTGTTGACTGGAATAACCAAGGCAAAGAATATGATAGGAACATAGCGAAGATAGATGGTTGGATCAAGAGAGATAGATAAAAATATGAAAGGGTTACGTAGGACGGAGGCAGGGATCAGACTCACCCGATGAGGCCTCCTGGAGAGAATTGGGGATTGACGCTGTCCTGGGAGAGAGAGGAGGCGGTGAGAGGAGGAGTGCCTCCGGTCCTACCGCCCCCGCCACTCTCTTCGCTAGGGGTTTTAGCGAACAGGCCCGAGCTAAAGTCACTCACCAGGTTGATCGGCGAGCTTATGTTCACCACCATTACACATTCGTGGTTAGTTACGATGCAAATAGGACATTAAGACGTTAATCGATCGCAGGATAATCGTAATAGCAAAGGGAACGGGTTTCGGTGGAACTTTCCCTGATTCCCACGTGCGCTCGCGAATAAAAGATTTAGTCTCTTAGAGCAGGAAAGGAAGAGTAAGTACCGCTCCGCATAACGATTGCCTAACACGCAGAAAGCAGATGTGCGCAAGTGGCTAAATAACCTTCTATTTTGCGAATCATTCACTACGTGACTGCTAAGGAAACTTAGCGGAAGCGATTAATTCGCGAAAACCGAAGAAAAACTGCGTCAGAATTTTACTGATCCCTGTAAGACGTTCTTTCGGAGCATGAATTGCTTTCGCTGCAAATTTATAGATTATCATAAGGCTCGTGTTGCAATACAAACGCAAGTCACTCGATATAATCCACTGTACGCGATCAAATGCCCAGCAAGCGGATTGGACAGCCGCGTTTACGATGCCGCTGTGGCTTTCATTTTCTTAAGATAGTAGAGTACCGAGTTAATCGAAAATGCAGATTTTTTCAGGGCCGATATACGAGCACTGATACTCACCTTGAAAATACTTTACTGAAAACGGAAGAATGATGAGCATCCGCGCTGTTAGGTAGACTTGAGACCTTCTCAAGAGCAGTTTTGCCATCTTCCTTCTCCCCGGTTAAACCCTCCATCCAGGACAATGGGTAAGATAGCCGTTTGATCATCTGAAAAACGTCCCGTTGCTCTTACTTCGCGCGTAATCAGTGATAAAGAATATTATAAAATACCCCTGAAGTTGCTTAAACTGGAATCAAATTAATCGCCAGACATGACGGTACCTTATTTTTACGTGTCTCCTGTTTGTCATCATCTTTATGATCTTCGTCCTTTTCTTGCTCTTCGGCGTTGCTCTCCAAACTGAAGGACACCGAGCTAGCTTTCTTCCTGCCGTTGATGGCGGAGCCGCTATCCAATGAATTGCTCGTAACATTCGTCGGTGCAATTGTTATAGGAGGAACCCAGTCCGAGGACAGTACTATGTCTGCATCCGAGTAGACTTTCTTCGATGGAATTGGCTGAACCACCGGAAGCGGAGGATTAGGATCGCGGATGTCGATGCCGGAGTCATGACACGACAGTTTGACTAGAGATCCCTCTTCGTCTTCGGGAATGGCATTAGGTTTCACTGGTTCTGCCTGAAAAGGTGATATGCCGTTATATTTTCAAATTAACGAACTATAACATTAAGCAATGATTTAACGTTATAATAGGGTCTGTACCTTATCCGAGTTTAGAGAATCCTGCTGTTCATCGTCAACAGAGAATGAACATCGATCCTTGCTAGGAACTGCCCAGTGGTGATCGAGCAAGGAACGTTTTCGCTCTTCGAGCGTTTTGCTCGCTTGTCCGCCACCGCATTCTTTAGAAGCATTATCTTTATCCTTATCTTTATCTTTGGTTAAAGCTGATCCTTCATCCTGTAAAAAATATATCATTAGAAAATACATCCATAAACAAGTTAAGTTTTCCCTTTAAATTGTCTGATTTTCAGTTTATCTAACTTCCATTAAAATCGCTTTATATTTAATATATTGTTTCTTTCTACAACTATGACAATATATAATTTCCAAATTACAATTTCAGAACTCCACTCGTTGGCTCCAATAAAAATGTCAGATATATATTAAAATGTACAGTAGTCTCTCGTATAGCGGGAATACTGGCATACTGGCGTACACTTTGTTTATTTAGTATACATTGTATATCTTGAAAATAAATAAAAATACAGAAAAGAATGAGTCATGCAGACTTCTGAAATTCTTTGGAGAAAATGTCTACTACAAAAAAATAAGATACCGCGCGTCCACGGTTTTCATTGACATGCAATGTATTTATATTTAGTCCCATTTCGACTGATATGTACATACATTTTGAAGATTAGTTGGTGTAACGAGATCTCTTTCGAAGGCCTTTGGAAAAGCGGCACCGTCTCTTTCGGCACAACTGCAAACACTTTCACTGTCGTCGCCTGCGAGCTCCGAAAAGTTTTCATCTTTGCCCGGTGATTGACATTTGTGTCCATCGGCTTGCGATGGTTTCTTCATATAATATATATCAGGTTTCTTTTCAGGATTATTAGACTCTGTATGGCTAACTCGCATATGCGCGATATCGTAATATATCACGGCGTTTACAACAAATTCCATTGGTGCAATCACTCCGTACGATTCCGCTCCATGCTCGATTACCAGAGGATCCGAAACGTATGGATCAAACATCACTGCATTTGGTGTCACCAGGAGCACTCCTTCAACGACGCCCTAGAAAGATAAATTTCTATGAGAAAATATTATTAAATTATCCGTTTCGATGTCAAACCTTTGCCTTGATGTCGCTATGTTTCTAATTTATGAATAGTTGCCCCATTGCTACAGTAAAATGACATACGTCTCCAAAGCTAGCANTTATACAATATTGTATAAGGTGCCTCACTATATAAAACTTTTGCAATTTTGCATCTTTTTCATACCCGTTATAGCAGTTTCTAGTCCGAATTATTACTTACAAAGTTGCAAAGTTATCCTTTCGTGTTTGTGGCAACTTCTGCACAACTTTGTTTTAATGAACGAATAAATGGTGAATTTCAATTTTTAAGTGTTCCCTTAAGTTTAAGTCGTCATTGCCGAGTGGCACCGTAATAAATAGGGTGCTTATAATAATCCACATTTGTTTACCGAGGTAGTTTGTCATATTTTTGATTATTATAAATAAGAGGCTCTCGATCTGATTATCCAATCTAATTTTACCATAGCTACACAGTAACGGTTTACTGAATTTCAGTTAATTTTACATTGCACAAGTCATCGACAGACACTAAATTATCGTAAACCGAAAATTAAAGACTTGAAGTTACCTTCAAAATTGTGCATAGGGAAATTTCCCTGTTTATTACGATATCTTCGCATTTAAAGTTACTGCAAAAAATATTATTATTATTATTATTATTATTTAATACGAATATATTAAATTGTTATGGAAGGATACGTACGTAAAATATAGACGGAGTCGGATCGAGAGTCTGATTCATTTTGTAATAACTCGAAAATGGCAAGATATTAGGATAATATTCAAAGAACTAAAGATTATGGTAATTGATATACTCATGGTAATGAGTTGAGGTAATACATATCTTATTAGTAATGGCGTTCCTACGGTATATGAATTTACGTAATGTATGAAGAATGAAAACGTGGACAAATGACAAGAGATTCCCAAAATGAGAAGAGCAAACGTGAGACTTCCGATCAATATGAATTTGTTGAATTTTTCCAATGATTTGGCATTAAACCTCACTTCTGCTATGAGCTTCCTTAAAAAGCATTTATCGCTTGGTGGTCATTCATGATATGAGCCGCTCAATGCACACATCGACTAACTCCACTTTTTGAAACATCTTTAATTTAGGTGTCAAAGCACTTGGTATAGTCATAACTTTTTATATTTATAATATNTGGATTTTGGGCCCAAGGGGTGGAACAATATATTCTCTGCCGGTACACGAAGGTATTGACTAATTAATTGTTTAATTTCACTCGATTAAAATGGTGGTACTGGACTGGGAAACAATGAGAACCTATTGTAACTTTAAGAAAGGTGGTTTTCGTTTACCAAGGGTTGTCCTCTGGTGCCGTCAATGGAGCAATAAATTTTCCGTCAGTTTAGGAAGGTACTGTTTAATTATTCTATTCATTTGATTCCGTAAAAGGAGTGGTAAGGTAGGCAAGATCAGCAGGTCCCCCTTGGATGTTTGAAGAGGGTGAGTTTGGTGCCCGGGGGGTGGAGCAATAAAATTCTAAACTGAGCAATAAATAAGCAATAAATTTTTACTACATTTTACGCTACTTATTTTTTAATTTTGAGCAAATTATTAAATGGCTCTGCCAGCTTTGATGAAAAGCTGGCAAAGTCCTCGATTTTTTGAAAACGGCTGGAGCAATAAAATTGAAATTTGTGTAAGAAAAAAGCAATAAATTTTGATGTATAATTAATATGGGTCTGCTGATGTGGCTCTGCTAGCTTTGGAGACGTAAATGACATATACGCTACATTTGAAACAACCAGCGTACCATCTACTTCTACTTAAATCATAAAATTAACAACTCCTCATATTAATGTATGGTGATGTTAAAATCACCTCAGGATGCAAAACATGTGAAGCATATTACCTGGCCGTCGGTGATATGACGAACGTCGATTTTTAGAAATCTTTCCCGGTAGGGCTGTTCATCATCATCCATGTTCGTATTGGTGGTGCCGAGAGGGGTTTTGATTCTTTCCATGTGTCCGGGTTTAGGAGATACAGGCCGTAAATTATCCAGGAGTTCTGTTGCAGGGGAAAAAAGAATATTTTAGATAAATTTGATCGTAGTATCACGTTATACACCTTATAATGAACGTTTAATATATGTAGAGGTGTCTTTATAAGGCAGGTGGCTTATGGAAAACAGTTCGGGATTTTTCGACAGACAGACCGACCGGGATAAAACTCGTGTGCTGGAAGTCAAAATCGTGTTCAACCGACTGAACGAGCCTCGAAGAACTGTCGAGGAAGAAGACCGGTGTAATCGGTAGGTTACTGCACGGTCTAACAACAAGGTTGGCTCCTTAGTAATTGCGCACACACGATCTAGCATAATACACGACTTTGCATTATTCTTCACTGATACTGCCAGATACCACTTCGCCTTTACAATTACCTTACACGCGTATTTAATTGTTGCGCGACTTCACGTTTCGTGACGTTCCGTGCATGTAGAGTAATAAAACGTCATTTCTTCTACGCGAGTTCACGAATGCCCGGAAGAAAAATCATTTTAGTGAAATAAAAATCATATCATTAAATCAAACAGGATATACGTTTCCAAAAGAGACAGAAAGCAAGACAAAACGATACGAAGTGTGTATGGAACTTCAAATCAAATTCAATTAAGATTACCTACAGACATACTTTTTTTATAACATTTTCCAGTCTCTATAAATGAAAAAAGACTGAAGCACGTTCGGTACGTGCTTTGGGTTTAAAAGTACGTGGCAAAACAACACGTGCGTAAAACACTTATAATAAATACAAATAAAAGTACATTGACATTTTAATTCAGAGTGTTTCGTTCGTTGCGATAGGAACGGTGTCAAAATTAATATGTCATTATTTAGATATACGATTAATTTGGGTAAGACTAATCATACAAGATTTGGTGATTCATCTAAACATTTGGCCGGTTTAAAGAATGTCGAAAAATCCAAAGTTATTTACTCGGTTAGCGTTTCATTAGAAATGTAAGATTTCCCTTTTCTCTCGTTTTAAATTTTCCCGCGATTTAGGTAACTCATACAGTCTCCTCTAGCCATACATTTACGTGTGAATTTTTCATAAGTTCGATATATCAGATATTAGATAAATTATACAAGATTTGCTGATTCATCTAAACGTTTGGCCGGTTTAAAGAATGTCGAAAAATCCAAAGTTATTTACTCGGTTAGCGTTTCATTAGAAATGTAAGATTTCCCTTTTCTCTCGCTTTAAATTTTCCCGCGATTCAGGTAACTCGTACAGTCTTATCTACCCATACATTTACGTGTGAATTTTTCATATGTTCGATATATCAGATATTCGATAAATTATACAAGATTTGGTGTTTCATCTAAACGTTTGGCCGGTTTAAAGAATGTCGAAAAAACCAAAGTTATTTACTCGGTTAGCGTTTCATTAGAAATGTAAGATTTCCCTTTTCTCTCGTTTTAAATTTTCCCGCGATTTAGGTAACTCATATAGTCTCCTCTAGCCATACATTTAAGTGTGAATTTTTCATAAGTTCGATATCTCAGATATTCGACAAATCATGCAAGATTAGGTAATTCATCTAAACATTTGGTCGGTTTAAAAAATGTCGAAAAATCCAAAGCTATTTACTTGGTTAGCGTTTCATTAGAAATGTAAGATTTCCCTTTTCTCTCGTTTTAAATTTTCCCGCGATTCAGGTAACTCATACAGTCTCCTCTAGCCATACATTTACGTGTGAATTTTTCATATGTTCGATATATCAGATATTCGACAAATCATGCAAGATTTGATGATTCGTCTAAACATTTGGCCGGTTTAAAGAATGTCGAAAAATCCAAAGTTATTTACTTGGTTAGCGTTTCATTAGAAATGTAAGATTTCCCTTTTCTCTCGTTTTAAATTTTCCCGCGGTTCAGGCAACTCATACAGTCTTCTCTAGCCATACATTTACGTGTGAATTTTTCATACGTTCGATATATGTGCCCATAATTATGAAAGTGGTCTAAGTCAAAATTAAAAAAAAAAAATGAGTTTATCAGTTATTTCACGCCATATTATTTCAAACGAAATTAATTCAATGTAATTTCGAAACAAAAAAATATATGACTTAGACCACTTTCATAATTATGGGCACATATCAGATATTCGATAAATTATACAAGATTTGGCGATTCATCTAAACATTTGGTCGGTTTAAAGAATGTCGAAAAATCCAAAGCCATTTACTTGGTTAGCGTTTCATTAGAAATTTAAGATTTCCCTTTTCTCTCGTTTAAAATTTTTCCGAGATTCAGGTAATTCATACAGTCTCCTCTAGCCATACATTTACGTGTGAATTTTTCATAAGTTCGATATACCTTTTTCTTCGGGTGGTAGATCATCCTGAGACTCGTGATCGTGGCAAGGATCAGGACTGGGGGCATCTATTTCCACAGCACCTCCAGGACGTCCTTCCCCTCTAGCAGGTACCCACAGTTTTTGCCCCGGATAAATAAACGTACTTCCGAGTCTGTTGAGCTTGGTAAGCTCGGAAGGGGTGGTATCGAATCTGGCTGCCACTGACGGAAGCGTGTCCCGGTCACCCACCTGTCGGTAAAACAGGTATCGGTTATTCAAAGTCAAAATCTCTCTCTCTCGCTACAAATAACAAAATAAATAAATAAAACAAAACAAATAAATAAAACAAAGAAATAAAACAGAGGCTCGAATTGTTATATCTTTACTAAATACGAAGGGCGAACCAATGAAGAGCGAAATAACAGCTCAAAGTCGCCATGTCTCATTACTCATCTCCGAATATCATCGAGTCATTTGGAAATTTGTAATTCAACGAGAATAAGGTTGTGCTTTTTGACGTTGCAACATTGCAGAATCATTTGCTTTTTCGCCCTTATCCGTTAGACAATTCAAGGAGATATGAAAGTGTGATATATACATACTAAAAAGTCAAAATATTTATAAAACTTTTCTCCATACTGGGTGCACCAAATTATCTAAAACTTTAACACGTGATTATGGAGTTCTAAGGAAGAATACGCTGCCCGTGAAATTTCATTTTTCGAAAAAAAATACATGTTTTTTGGTTCTTATCCGGGATAAGTACAAAATTTTGTTCGAAAAAGAAATTTCACAAGCAGCGCGTTATTCCTTAGGGCCTCCATAATCACGTGTTAAAGTTTCAGATAATTCGGTGGGCCCAGTTTGGAGAAAAGTTTTATATATATTTTGACTTTTGCTCTTTCTTAATATTACTTAAAATAAAATGTTAGGTAGGGACCTAACAAGGGACGATCGACCATGGTTTGACAAGAGGCCATCCGATCCCCTTGCACATATTGCGGAAATGCAATTTCACGGACCGCCACCGATGCAACATTATAAGCTATATCCCTCATCAGTTTGTCAAACGGCACATCGCACCCTAGGCAGAATGTTCGACCAAAAAGGCACGATGTCGCGCCCGTGGACGCTCAGCTATCCAAAATTTCCTATACATCGTACTAAATGGACTCGTTATTCTGCAGAATTTTTCTTCTCGAGAACACGGTATTATTTAGACAGAAAATTAACTCCGAGCTGTATTTAATTTTGCAACGAGGTTTGCACAATGTGTCTATATTTAAATTTTCATGGACTGGAAAATCAACAAACCAGATACCGAGAGTATAGTCTCGTGTTAATTTTAGATTTTAGCGAGAGGAAATTTGCCTACTACGGACATTGAACCGCCGAGAGTGTATTAGCAAGCATTTTCTCCTTTTATTGGGGTTGATGACAGCCTGTGGTGCGCAGCTCGCCGATCAGATAAAGAATTAAACGAACAACTTCCCCTGCAATCATTAGGTATACTTTGCTCTTGCTTGCGATAGTCTATAGCTATTCCTCTGCACATTTGCTGCTTATTGACATCTGGTTCTTTAAAAATGACGTTGTCACTTTTGACTGTAACTTATTTTCTCTCAATGAGCCTGATAGTTGAAATTGCTTTACCAATTTTCGAAGAAGTGACAGGCTTCTAGCGCTAAGCATTAATCAAGTTAAGGTGAAGTGAAACCCCCTTCAAATCAGTCGATTCGAATACAACACTTTTTTTTAAGGGTATTAGACCAAACTGTCCGAAACATTGACACATCACTCCTGATCATCTAAGAATTGTCCTGACACATTCAAAATTTGGATTTTTGGAAAACAATTTTTAACAGCCCTGTCCAGAACCAAAATGGCGTCGGGCTCTCACATTTCGATCGATATACAATTATCGAAGGCTCTGATATGAGAAACGAAAGGTTCAGGACAACTTTACGACAATTTAGAACACTCTGGTAATCGGTAAACTCGCATTTGAACGGAATAAAGGCAAAAAGAGTGTTGTATGCGCTTCTATGCCAAAACGATGAAAAAACTTTGACACATCCCTCCTGATCATCTAAGAATTGTCCTGACGCATTCAAAATTTGGATTTCTTAACAAAATTTGTTAACTCAGCCCAGACCAGAACCAAAATGGCGTCGAGCTCTCAGATTTCGATTAATATATAATTATCGAAGGCTCCGATATGAGAAACGAAAGGGTCAGGACAATTTTACGACAATTTAGAACGCTCTGGTAATCGATAAATTCGCATTTGAACGGGATAAAGGCAAAAAAAGTGTTGTATGTGCTATGCTAAAACGATGGGAATACGAGGTCTCGGAGGGAAAATTTAATTGACCTGGAAATCACAGATGGCGCAGGGGGTCCCTCTGCAGTCAGTTAGGACCCCAGAAAGCACGAATCCAGAGGATTTCTGGAGTTTTACTTCGATTTCTTGATATTTATTGTACGAAAACGACAGGTGGAGTATGCCATTTGGTACAATATCCAATATAATTCGACCCCGCTGTCAATATAAAAACAAATGTCGGCAATGTAGGCATTTAGAAAAATCTTCTTTATCGACGTTGATCAAGTTCCTCGACGTGTTTCACTTCACCTTAATCATTTATTTAAACATAAAGCCTAGTGTCGTATAATTCAGACTTAATTTGAATAAATCGATTTTTTAAAGAAAATCCGTATTTTCGTTTACCCGTCAATTTGACGGGTGCTCGTAGAAACAGGTATATAAAAAACGCCCGTAAACTTAGTGTTAAAGATATGCATACGAGACGACTCGCATGGTTAAAAAGAATCCGGTTTGCTAGATGTTAAATAGGCGTATCATTTGCGCGATCATACCGCATATAATCGAAACACACAAACAGTGGAAAGTATTGAGTCGTTGATAACCGACTGTTCCGACTCCTTCGAGAGAATACCTAGACCCAGACAGTGGCGATTGTTTGCGGCTCGATGACGTCCCCTTTGGCTCGGTACCATTTCAATTCAATTTCGAGGCTGCAGCCGCGTTAATTCATTCATTTATGTGTCGGGCCTCCCTTAAGAGAATGCAGAGAGGCCATTCATTGGAATGCATCGATGTCGAGGAGGGTTCCTACCGGAGAAACGTATTGTTTGTGGACGATGCGGACGCGGGGCAGGTATAGCTGGCAAAGTGGAATTCCTTTTGTCAGCAAGGCCACGAGCCCCGATAACCTTGACTTTGAGAATAACTAAACTTGCAACAATCGCTAAAGTATGCCAATGAGGACGATTCCCACCACTGCCCCTCCATGCTGTAACGCATTCTTAAGGTGAAGTGAAACACGTCGAGGAACTTGAACAACGTCGATAAAGAAGATTTTTCTAAATGCCTACGTTGCCGACGTTCGTTTTCATATTGACAGCTGTGTCGAATTACATTGAATATTGTACCAAATGGCATAATCCACCTGTCGTTTTCGTACAATAAATATCAAGAAATCGAAGTAAAACTCCAGAAATCCACTGGATTCAAGCTTTCTGGGGCCCCAATTGACTGCAGAGGGACCTCCGGTGCCATCTGTGATTTCCAGGTCAATTAAATTTTCACTCCGAGACCCGGTATTACCATCGTTTTAGCATAGAAGCGCATACAACTCTTTTTTTGCCCTTATCCCGTTCAAATGCGAGTTTATCGATTACCAGAGTGTTCTAACTTGTCGTAAAATTGTCCTGACCCTTTCGATTCTCATGTCAGAGCCTTCGATAATTGTATATCGATCGAAATATGAGAGCTCGACGCCATTTTGATTCTGGTCTGGGCTGAGTTAAGAAATTTTGTTAAAAAATCCAAATTTTGAACGTGTCAGGACAATTCTTAGATGATCAGGAGTGATGTGTCAAAGTTTAGGACAGTTTGGTCTAATATCCTTAAAAAAAAGTGTTGTATTCGAATCGACTGATTTGAAGGGTGTTTCACTTCACCTTAATCGAACGTGTATTTAGTATTTAGAGAGTCGGTAAGCACACGGCATGTCGACCCGTAAGGCATAGGCAACATGAAAAAGGAACTTTGCATTCCGTGTTCACATCCGAAAGAGCAATTAGGAAACAAACAATGACGTACGTTTAATTAAAGACCGATGATAATCTGCAAATTATTTTTACCAACGTTCCACTTAGTATTTCGAAATACTAAGAAGTCTGTTAAGGTGAAGTGAAACCCCCCTCAAATCAGTCGATTCGAATACAACACTTTTTTTTACGGGTATTAGACCAAACTGTCCGAGACTTTGACACATCACTCCTGATCATCTAAGAATTGTCCTGACACATTCAAAATTTGGATTTTTTAACAAAATGTTGTAACACAGCCCAGACCAGAACCAAAATGGCGTCCAGCTCTCATATTTCGATCAATATACAATTATCGAAGGCTCTGATACGAAAAACGAAAGGGTCAGGACAATTTTACGACAATTTAGAACACTCTGGTAATCGATAAACTCGTATTTGGACGCGATAGAGGCAAAGAAAAATCTTGTATGCGCTTCTATGCCAAAACGTTGGGAATACGAGGTCTTGGAGTGAAAATTTAATTGACCTGGAAATCACAGATGGCGCAGAGGATCCCTCTGCAGTCAATTAGGGCCCGAGAAAGCACGAATCCAGAGGATTTCTGGAGTTTTATTTGGATTTCTTTATAATTATTGTACGAAAACGACAGGTGGAGTATGCCATTTGGTACAATACCCAATATAATTCGATACAGCTGTCAATATAAAAACGAACGTCGGCAACACAGGCATTTAGAAAAATCTTCTTTATCGACGTCGATCAAGTTCCTCGCCGTGTTTCATTTCACCTTAACCCTTTGCGGACGAATGTCGCCAAATAGTCGCCCGAAAGCCTTTATAATGGAAAAGTCTCGTCCGCAAAGGGTTAAGTGTTAGAAAATACGTGTAATATCGGTAACAGGTAGTTACATCGATCTAAGTCAAACCGCTAAATTAGGCTTAGCAACCCCGCTATCGAAATCGATTGCTATCGGTATAATCACTAAAGTAAAATAGCGCGGTCCATATAATTACCTCTCTTTACGTAATTCTAATATTCCCCGTTTACCATCGTACGTTTTTCCGTACATATTTTATACTTTTACAGCTGTATCGTCTTATATTAATTCGATACAGCTGTCGATATAAAAACGAACGTCGGCAATGTAGGCATTTAGAAAAATCTTCTTT